ATTCAAACTCAACCTGGCATGGCCACTAAGGCCCAAACAATCACCATACCCGTCCTCAGCTTGAACAACCATATCTAGAATAACGACAGATATGGAAACACTGCCACGAATCATGGTTATAAACCACGCTATCTACCCTCAACCAGGTCCTTAAAATCCTCGTGACTTACCTCGATTCAAGTATGGATCATGTGCTTCCAGTAGTATGGGCCCACTACTACCTTTCACACCTATCCATACTTTCCTCAAGAAGCATCCAAGTCCTCTAAACCACCTACTCATAATAATACTCCCAATACCCACTAAACAGCATAACAACCAAGCTAAATCACTTCCTAGGGTCTCCTAGGATCCCCACCTCACCCTCCCATCAGCTGCTGAAAAACCCCTATTAATGCCAACTAACCACTTCATGAATACAATTATATGAAAATAAACTTAAATAATCTTTCGACTAAAAGACCCAACCCTACAACGGTTAGACTCAAACAAGAGTTGCGCAATACAGCCAAATCAATCATTCTAAAATTATTTGATCTTTGCAGCATGTAAATTAACATATTCACATAATAGTTAACTACGTCAATATTAGTACCACAAAGAACAAGCAAGCTGCATTCGAGCAGTGAAACCATCTGGCACTAAGACACCATAAAATCAGGCATATCCTTTCATGAAAATTCCAGACCACTACGCCTAAGCATCAAGCATACACATACATCCTATATCTACTTTATCAAGAATGGCTAATCATTCCTCATGCAGGCTTGCTGTAAATTATACTCCCTCAAAGAACTTCCACCAACCCTGCAGCCACTCGTGCATCTTAATCATACATAACGCTAGATTCTATAGACAATCGAATAAATGATTCTATGTTAAGCCCACAACCAGACAAGGAAGATGAAATAAGGCTAAATCAAACATTCTCAGGCTATAAAATCTTAGTTATGTACAACTATGATGCATGCACTAAGAAACTACAGTAATGACGTCAACTCCATCTAACATACACGAAATTCTCCTAGGCTATCAAATATCATACATCAGATAATTTTATCATTCAATTCCTGAAGATCCATAGCCTACTACTAGCATGCAGTTCTATCATAATCATCATAAACAACTAACATTGTGGGTAAGTTGGGGTATAGTTTCCAGCTCCGACTGATCGTACACATCTCATCATTCTTTGGTTACTTTCGAAAACAATTTTGAAAACCATTTTGAAAACTTTTACAAATCCTTATTTTAAGTCTGGATTCACATGAGTTCTTATCCAGTTCACTCAAACCAGAGATCTGATACCAACTTGTAACATCCCAAAAAATCAAGGTAAAATTTTCATTTTCAAAACCAATCCAAATGCCATAAGTTTTTACAAAACATAGTTTCCAAAAGTTATAACATGAATAAGAGTATCCCAAAATAAAATCTCATAAAAACTCGGGAGAATGTGCACAATCAAGCCTTTTCCTTGCCCCTATCATTTGATGTACTTGAAACCTTAAAATCAAACTGTAAGGAAAAGCTTAGTGAGTTCCCCAGAGTAACACACATAACCAAACAGATAACAGCATGCATGCATGAGCCTTCAACATTACTTGACCACCTCATAAGGCCTACAACCTATCTGGACAGCTCTCCGAGCCTTCAGCCTGACTGGATCGCCTCACCACTCCTACAACCAATCTGTACCGCTCTCTGGGCCTTGGTCCTGACTAGACAGCCTCACAGGGCCTATAATCTATCCGGACCGCCCCGAGTATCTTGGCCTTCAGCACAAAGCAGAACCGCCTCAACCCAACAATAACAATAACATGTCGACATATATAGTAAAATTCAATTGTCAGCAAATAAAGGTAATCGTAAATATCTACTAGTCTAACATATATCCAGTGGATACATGTAATCATAAAAATCTATCAATCTAACATATATCTAGTGAATACAGGTAATCATACAGATCTACCAGTCTAACATATAACTAACATAGCATCATCCTATATACCATGATACATAATCCAGTGGCCGACATTGGTGCCTTCGACCCACAAGTATAGTGAGGAAAACTCACTTGAATCACAAAGTTGACTAAAACCCAAGTCAATGTCACACTGACCATAAGTAACAACTCTTTATTCCAAAGATGGGTGTTATACACCTCCTATCAATCCATACAAGGTAAACCCTAAGTTTACCTTCCAAAAATAAACATTTGACCAAAATTCAACTGATACTAAAGTCAACGACCAACGTTGACTTTAGTCAACCGCCACGTCGTGCCCCTAACGCGATCAAGACGGGAAATTCCTAATCGCCATGTCGTGGGAGCTGAGATTCCAACAACTTAATGGATTAAGCTGTTTTCTTCGATTTCAAGAGCTCCAAAGCTCAGATCTGGTCCATTCTATGGTCTAAACGGATAAAGTTTCCAACTTTATCCATTAAGACACACAAAGAGATTAAGATCTCCAATCCTAGGTCCCAATAAAGCTAAATATCATAATGTCTTAACCATCAAGCTCTTAATATGAACTGTCCTTAACCCAACCACTCCATAAGGGTTTTCTAATACCAGATCTATCATAAAGGTGGAAGCTTTATGGACATGCATACTAATACATGTCTAGACTCAATTTTAGGTCAAAATGGGCTAAAATTGACCAAAATTATTGTAAGATGAAGAACCCTCAACCAAAACCTAGATCTACAATATATGTTGCTCATGGGACTTAGGAGAGTCATAAAGTTGCCCACTTTTAGAGTTCCTTCCCTCCAAAATTGCTCAAATATGTAGGGCATGGGACAATATTAAAGATCTAACCACTTTAAGCCATAAAGCAATGAACTTGGACACTTACAAAGGCCCAGAGATGCCCAAAAAGATCTTTACTTCAGCCAAGAAACACCAAAATCTTTTCCAATGCCTCTTCTTTCTTCACAAGCACCCAAGGTCACCAAAATGGACTCACAACTCTCAAGGAGGAATTAGGGTTATGGTTTTTGAAACTTGAGGGTGATGGAGGATGATAACGAACCCTAAAAAAGACTTAGAGGGGTTTAAATACAAAGCAAACCCTAAAACAATCATGGGCATGGGGCAGGACAGCTGCCACATCGTGACGATCCAATAAAACACACGATCCATTAAATACTTGCCACACAGTGGCCCTCCTTAGCTACATCGTGGCATAAGATTTTCTTCAAAACTTAATCTTTGGTCCCTGATAAAATTAAGTTCAACGAATCTGGAACACGTGCATTATACAATTGAGCTATTCAAAGGAGATGTGACAACGTTTAAAGTCAATGGAAATAGAGTAAAGCATTACGAAGAAAGGATTCCAAAAGAAGATAAGGAAGGAGAGTACGTGGTCTTGGAAGAAACCACTGCAACGTAGAGCAGGAAGGAGTCCAAATCAAAACTCCTAAAAAAGTAGCACTTACGGGAGGCAACCCGCGGTTTGCATTTTCTTCTCTTTTCTTGTTACTTTTGCATTTTAGTTTATTTTCTTTCTTTTTAGTTTGTTTTTCCAAGGATATTCAATCTTTAGTCGTTACCATTAACCGTTTCTCTGAGGGAAAGTAACGAACAAGTGTGGGGGTTGGTAAAATTGCGATTGAATTTTTTTTTCTTGAAGCACGGTAGCCATGGCGTGGATAAGATGTTCCCATGCAGTGCGCTATTTAGAAATCCCATAATACGCAGTTGATCAAAACGTCATGGCGTGGCCTGAAACGCCACGGTATGAGGCCTATTTTTACGCAAAGAATTACTTTTAAAACCTAATCAACCATTTATTTCACTTTTTACCCATCTCGACTTCCCCCACGCTGCAATTTCCTACCTACAATAGTTTTTTGCATATTCTTCCAATTTCTTCGACTTCTGTTCGATTTATCCAAAAAGGATAGTCATTTCTTACTCTAAGCTACTTATTACGGCATATACCTGTTGTGGGTTCTTTGATTTGAATATTTAGGCCGATTTTAAAAATTAGAAAAATATAGGGTTTGATAGTTCAGTCGAAATTTTCCCGATTTCGACGATTCTTGTGGTTTAGTTTATGTTTAATAGTCTTGATATATGGCCTAGATAGAGCCCCAGTGAGTGAAATGGATTTACTATAGCCAGTTTTGCCCGATTTGTTCTTGTTGTTCATATGCCACGGCATGTCCATGTGTGGCCACATCATGGGCACTGGGGAGGAAGATTTTTTTTCTAATTTATCTGATTTACAGGTTGGTTGTGGATGTGTTTTGTTGTCTTATTTTTCAGGTATGGGGCCTCGGATTCAACCTGGTTCACAAAGGGATTTCCCATAATATAACTTTCCAGAAGTCGTGGCACCTAGTGTGTATTTGGAATGGAAAAACAAGTTGGGTTGGCTATGTACGAAAGATATTGATATTCCACCCGTTTTGGACTAGAATTGGATGCAAGCTATGGGGCTCTTGGAACAAGTTGAACAATATCTAACGAAACTGTCTTTGCAAGATGGAGTGTGAGTTACTTGCTTGGGATGGAGACGGTTTTTTTTTTTGCTACAAGAGCCGATGTATTTGGAACTTTGCGTGGAGTTTTCCATATTTTTGGATCATTGTTACAAAAGATTTCGGACAGAAGTTACTAAGACTGGTTAATAGGCTATAATTGCAAATGGGTCTTACACAGTAGGAACTGCAAGTGAAGGTGAAATAAGAAAGGCTGTACACTGATTCATTCATCGGCTGATCACATTTTCCATCAACCTAAAGAAGGAAGGGGATCGGATTCCTCAACTGCGCGTGTTTTTTTTATGGTGTATCATTACACCAAATGTATTCTGTCACCTCCATTAATGTGTTGCATAATTTTTGACAGAGTAGGCATGAAAGAGCAGGGATGGGGCCCCTATTTATGGTGGAATGATGGTCACCAAACTGGGTTTCTGACGAATATAGAGGGCCGCCCGTAATAGAAACGTTTATTCAAGACCACTCGTATAGTGAAGGGCATGGGAAATTACACCTATTCGGTGCCAGTGGATGATGCGGTTGAGGTTCCAGTAGGTCGTCAAAATGTGAGGCCGAGGGTGGAGGATCGGGATCCTAGAGATGCATATGTGGGTGACGAGCTACCTATGGATCCATTTCATGTTATGGCTAAACAATATGGTGATGATGTGGGCAGGGGATTGAATTTCATGGAGTATAGGTTTGAAGCAATTATGCATCAACTCCCAATCACACCTTCGGTTGGAGCACCTCCCATTACACTTACATACCCTCTTGGGAGGAGTGTTGGGCCGAGCATAGAGGAGGTGCGGCCACTAGTGGAGTTGGAGATAGAGATGATGAGGAAGAAGAATGAATATCCTTGATTTATGTTTATTTTCGATTGGTGTGATTCAGACTATGTTTATTTTTGGTGTGTTAGGATTTTCGTAACTTAGGATTTCTCATAATTTTTAATTTGTGTATTTGTTTTTCCTTTTTATTACTAGTTTATTTGTGGTTTTAGATTTTGCAGAAGTTATGGTTGATGAGAGACTACGATTTTGTTTCACGAGAAACGTGAAGAGAGCTTAAGTGAGGGGTACGACGTGTGATCGAGAAAAGTTTTTGAGAGAATTTTTGAATCCTATGGACATAATAACTGAATAAATTGATCGAACATAAAAATAAAAGGATATGTCATCCCGACATTGATTTTCCTCACCTGAAATCACAGTGGACATAAGCATTATTGTTTCTCAATTAATGAAAACATCACAACTCCAATTCTATATGTGCAAGATTAAGAGAACATTTTACTCCACATATTTCGAGGTGTTTTCAACCTTCTTAGTTTGAAATTGAGTTTCAAGATACAATGTGTAGTTACTATAGTATGACTCTATAACTTGATTGGAATAAAGAATGACTCATCTATGATCGACCAATTTCAACCAAATTTTCGATTCCCCATCTTATTCGTACAATTTTCACTACGATTTTTTTGGAGGAGTCAATTGTGATACAATTTCACAATTACTAAGATGAGCATAAAACAAGATACTAAAGTACTCTCCTTTCCTTTCAGATTGGAGACACTTTTATCTTTCTGCCTAATAGATTCTTTCTTATCGTTCTGCAACTCTTTGAATCTTTTTCAAAATATCAGAATTATGCTTAATCTTATAAACACAACCATATCTACTAAAATATCAGTAAATCTTAACGAATAGAATTATCGTCCTTTATGGTGGATCAGAATAGTCCATATCAACATCTTCTAGATCCATCAATCCTTCACTTGCCTCACATAAACATGTGATCAATGAATTAGTTATAATTTTCCAATGAACAAGATTCTCATACTATACAATTCAAATTGTACAACACCAAGTATCTGTCCAGTTGGTGATGAGATTTCTTTTCACTTGGTCAATTATCAAAATAACACACACGATATTATAAGAATCAAATCATTAATTAATATTGCTAATATTAGAAATGTAACCAACACTTTCATAAATGTTATTGCAAGGAAATATATAAAATGAGGCAACTAGATAAACCAAAATTTCACTTTATTAAAAAATATATGAAATTTGGATCTTGTTCTTACCACGCATAAAATGAAAACCAAGTTTCTAAATATCTCCAAAGAGTAACAACAATCTATTAAATAATCCCAACTCCTTAGTAGCAGCTCCAAATTCTGATCATTGAACCATGTGAGTAAAGTCCATTTCTCATGATTAGATTCAGCTCACCTTGCTCAAGTTTCCTTCTTTCTCTTAGCTCCTTTAATACAATAAAATTTGATCATCACATCATGTATTATGAGTCTATGAATAGGAACTTGTTAAAACAATGGATTTAGACAATGGATGTATGATGTATCTAAAGTATTATGAGTCTATGAATAGGAACTTGTTAAAACAATGGAGTTAGACAATGGATGTATGATGTATCTAAAGTTGAGTCACACAACTTGACTTCACTATCTGTGAGATTTTTTAGGTACTTTGGGCAGCTTTGTTTCCAATGTCCCTTCAATTGGTAGTAAAACAAATGGACTCTTTGGGGTCAACACATGGAACGATTCCAGAACTAGCCATTCCTCTTTGCCATATGATCAAACAGTTTGATCTTGGACAACCCCTTTCCATTGGGAAGATATATCTTTTCTGAACCATCATTGTCACTGTTTTCAATCTCCATAGAAACCTTGAAATTATACCCAATAAGCATCTCTGCTTTAGATGTGCTCTTAAGCATTTTTGCTTCATCAACAATCAACATTTGGGCCAAAACAATTGGGTTCATGTCGATATTCCTTACATAAAAGTTCTTAATAAACTGATCATATGTCTTTGGAAGCAAGAGAAGAACCAAGTCAATCGCTTGCTTCCTTGGAAAAATGACACCCAATCTATGCAACTTGTTAATGCACCATTTCTTTTCTGAACATGCATACACACAAAGTTTCCATCTTGATGTTTACATGCCAATAGGGATTCAGTAGTCTCGTATCTTTTAACTTGAGGGAAAATATGAAGTTGGGAGAGACACAGGAGGAGGTGGAAGAAAGATGATGTCTAGTTCTTTCATTTCCTAAGGAAGTGAAAACAATTTCACCTGGACTTGAAATTGGAAGACCATCTCTAGAAGTTTGAGGAAAAGTCTTTTCGTAGGAATGAGGAAGACAATTTCTATCTTCATAAGATATATTTAAATAGGAGAATAAAGAAAAAATAATTCAAGTTAGTTGATTTTATTCCTTAATTATTAACCCGTAAATTTAAATTAAGGCTAGGATCCATATTTCGATTCTAACTTTGAAGAGTGATGTCGTAATCAAATTCAAATCTATTTTAGGTAGGTAAGGATTTTACTAATTCCAATATTATGAAATTCCTAGATATTTTGAGATTTGTTGAGTCTTATCCATGGTATGTTTAATCTCGGATTTTGCTCTTACTTTTGTGACTGGGATGCCGAGGATCACAAACGAGATGTGAATAACCATGTACACCCGCTTGACAACCTTGATGTCATTTATCATATCACATTGGTGTGTCGGTTAACTACACATGATCCATCGACAATGATAACTCTTGAGATGCCCATCATATCTCTTTTTAGTCCCTATTAGTGTAATGGTTAACCACACACGCTCCACTAACGACATATAAAGCATAATGTGCATTTTCATCGATTAGCATACTTTTCACAATTTTCCTAAAGTAACTAGATTTGGGATTTAAAAGGTTCTAGTACTTTTAATAGTATTATACTTTTAATGAGAATTAGTGTCCTATCAAATTCGTTCGGGTAACGACCCTCCACCACACAAGAGAGCGGTGGGTAAGAATGGATACCCAATGTCGGTCATTTTATAGGTTGCTTCCTTAAACTCCCCTTATAGTATTGCTTCATTAATGACGCATACTAGCGATTTAACTGACTTAGTCTTATACATATAGTAATAATTAAACTCTTAATTTTACATATAGTATAAGGTGTAATTTAAATTTTTTTCAAAATACTAGGTTTATAGTTTAAAATTCGAAAAGTAATAAACAATTAATTTAAATTTAAAATAAACCAAATGATTTAATATTTATCCATTAATTTAAAATTAACTAAATATATTAAATCAAATGAGGATAAACTAATTAAATTAATCAAATAATTTAATCATAATCCTTACCCTTTAGTATTCGAAAATTAGGGAATAAGATTTATTCTAATTTTAATTATTTCTTTTTAGGCAAGTAAAATAATAATTAGCAAAATTTGGAAACCCTAATATCCTTTCCTTTTTTGAAAAGATGGGGAGGAAGGCTAGGGTTTCAAAACCCTGGCCCTAAATTTCGAAATCCAAGGGGCGGAGGCTAGGGTTTCCAAAACCCTAGCCCTTGTCGAAATTTTGGCCTCTTATGGTTTAATTTCAATAAACCCTACTTTTATCTATTCTTCTTTTATAGCTATTCAACAAAAAACAAACCTGGATCTGATACCACTGATAGAATTTAGGTTAACAAACAAAAATAAAACCCTTAAGTTTGCATGCAACCTAAATAGGATCTATGTTTTCTCTATTGAACCTATATCTAAGAACATCAAATAGAAACCTACAAACCTTAGGCTATTTTGAAATTATGATAAAAGGGTTTTAGGATGAGATACCTTTTAGTTGTTATAGTGAACAACTAGAATTCTCCTTTGTTGATCTTTTGGAAGCTAGCACCACAAGTGTCGTGCCTCTAATGGAATCACACCCAAGCTAGCAAGAGGATAATTTAAGGGAGAGGAGAGGGGAGAAAGGAATTTTCTTCCAAGGATTGTAGAGGGAAGTATGGGACGAAAATAAGGCTAGGGAACTCTTTATATAGTTGAGGAAACTTGGTGCCAAAGCTAGGGTTTAAGGGATATGCCCTAGATCATGTGCTTGGTGATCAAGCAACCCAAAACCCTTTGTCCAAGAGGCCTTGGACGAAATCTCCTAGGGTTTGCCTAGATATTTTTGTCCACCTCTTTCAAGAGGTTCTAGAGCCTTCTTTTCTCAACTATTAACAAATAACAAAACAAGCCTTGTACTTTTAATTAATCCAATTAATCCAAAAATTAATGCAATTAATTTCTGATTAATTATTAATTAAATAATATGATTTCTAATTAATATATTATTTTCATAACTTATTAATAAACCATTTTTTTAATTTATTATTCACATAATAAATTTATATCTCTCTCTAAAATCATCATGTCCAATTACTAGGTTTGAGGGCAACCCAAAAGGACTGTGCTACTATCAATTCAAGTATATACCAATTTTAGTTATGGGCTTACACACCTAATCTAACCGTCTCTCACTTGGATATGTCTATAACTATAATTACCATTATATATTTCGAATTGATCAACAAGTTGTAGCTTCTAAAAGCCACTGTTGAACTCCAACTCGATCAGTTACGTTTCGTAAGATATGTGATCATATAATCCTCCGTTCTGCAAGATATCATATGAACATGAGACATGGAATAGAATCAATCTCATTGTCCAAGACTTTGTTTCCCGATTTCTGATTTGTGATGATATAGGACTTCTAATTGAACACATCAATTTAGTGCTAGCTGGGACCAACACTATAAGTCAACACCAAATCACCGAGGGGCCCAAAGATATCGCTTTTATCATTTGTGCAAAAGGACTGAATAAACTTTGACTTATATGCTTGCACCATTACTCATTAGATCATGCATGTCAATACATTTTATAACATCAATTTACTGATGCGTTTACGTATTATCAATGCACAACCGACTTGTAAACTATAACTCATATATCTTCGTTTTAAGATTATAAGATATTATCGTCTCAGAATTAC